GACTTGGAAAAACTGAATATTGCAGTTTTGGAGCAGGTTGAGAGGTAACAGGAGGGGGAAGATTTCATCTCTGAGGTGGTCCCGTCTTAAATATGTTTTAGGCTTCTTACAGAAAGTGGCTCTCTGTATACGTTTACACACCAGCCTGCCAGCCAGCGCTCCCTCGCCTGCTCTGCCGCCCTCCTTTTAAAGCAACAGCTGCTCATTCATGGGGCTGTGCAAACACCTGGGCTTCTTGGCTGTGTGTGTGTGTGTGTGTGTGTTTCTGTGTGTGTGTGTGTGTGTGTGAGAGAGAGAGAGCACACTTTATGAGCTTCGTGGGATATAAGGCTGTAGTCAGCCTTAGAAGATGCTATGGACAAGGGCAGCTGGTAAATGACGCCCTCACAGAGGGAAGAGAATGGAGCAAAACAGACCTAAGAGTTCACTGAACTTACCGAAAGCAAGACCCAAATAGTTTTGTCTCAGAGAGCTCTATTCTAAATGGAGCTTTACTGCAGTGCTGTAGCGATGGCACAGGGATTCCAGATGCAGGAGTCAGTCAGACGCCACCGGCTTTGAGGCCCCCTTCTCTGCCCCGTGACCAGCTGCGTGCTCCCGGGCAAGCTGTCTAGTCTGTCTACGGCCAAACTGCATCACCTGTGAAATGAGGCCACTGACACCTCGCTCACGAGATGCTCGGAAAAGTTAAACGAGAGTGTAAATTAGGTTACTGCAACCGGTACATCATAACTCATAGAAAACAAATATTAGCCCGATTGTATTAGGCTATACGGTAACAAACTTATGCTTTATGGCATACTAGTTGTTACAATGTCATGAAATATTGCAATGGAATACAATTTCTGATTCTGGAGGAAGAGGGCAAGGAAGAATCTCTCAGTGTGTTGTCTGAAGAGAGAAAAAATCTTAAGAAAACATGTCTGCTTTCAAAAATTTTCACCTACAGACAGTTACGAAACAATGCTGCCCTGTATTGTTTGTATTCTGCATTGACTCAAGGGGTCTACCGAAACTCATGACGGGTGAAAGAAAGAGTAATGAGAACATGGAATCACCAAATCCAACATGGCGTAGCTTGTTATTGTTTCTGCTTTTATTTTGTAGTACATGGAGTGGCTCCCTGGAGCCACTTCCCACAGTTCTTCAATGACAACCCAAACGATTTGCTTTTCAGACCCCAAAGCCATGTAGACTTGGCCAGGAGTAGGAGTCACCATTAAAACAATCCATTTTTTCAGGGGTGACCCATTTTGTAATTTGTAAATGTCTTCCCATTGGGAGGAAAATGTAAGGAAATTCTCTGGGGGATGTTTTGAAGTTTAATTAAAATGCGGTTTGAAAACATATCCCTTGTGCTTTGCAGGGGTAAATACAAGTGTATCAGGAGCTTACACAGAGATGTGAATGTTCTCATCCTGATGTTGGGTGGCTCTGGCTGGGAACTGTGTACATTAATCTTCTGACAAAATAGCAGTGTGCCTCTTTCTTGCACAACTGAGCCCTGTAGGTAACTTCTGTGCAGTGTATTCATAGGAAGAAAACCTGATATTTTAAATTCTCCTCCCTTCCTCTGGGAGGTTGCTCTATACTCAACACAAACGCTTGCTTCTTGTACTTTTAGGCCTGGAAAAGTTCCTATTAAACCAGAAGATGAAAAACAAAAGGCACTCTGGCGAACAGTTGGTAACTTGGAGCAGTTAATTATTCTTTGAGCTCCTTGTTATCCGAATTAAGGAATGGCGTGACGTGGGAGTCTGAAATACAACTCTGATCCATCTCCCACCTCCGGCAGACTTTTCGCTAAACTCTGCTTTTCAGTCCATTCATCCAGAAACTAAAAGAACTTTTAAATTCTGTTCAGTGAATATTTATTGAACACCTGCTATGTACTAATGCTGTTGTTGAGTGTTGGATGGTGTATATTGAATAAGACAAGGTTCCTGTCCTGAAGAAGTTCATAAAATAATTAGGGAAGTAACATTGACAACTTGGAAGGAATGGTACTTCCCTTAGGAAGTTAGCCCAGAACACATCGTAGTATAAGTCGTTGAAGTAATACCTTTAGCCTTTGGAACCTTCATAGCTACCAGTGTTTAATATCTCCCCTGAAATGTTCAATTGAGTCTTAGGAGTAGCTTGCCATATGTCCATGTTTTGCTAACTGTGTAATAGAATCTTTGAGAGTAGCCTTACTCTTAACACCTTCTGGGTTATTAAATAAAGGGAAGTGGCAAACATTCGTGCTTGGGATGTCTTTTACCCTTTGTTTAACGATGACTGTATGGAGAACACTTCCTGGGAACACTTAGAACTCTCAATAAAAGTGCCCGCCGTTTGCAGACGAGGAACCCTCTGAAGTTCAACACACTGTTTCTGTCCACAGCTTGTTCTTTTTTTCCATGGATTTTTGTGGCCAAAGGGAAAAATAACAGTTAAGCTGTAAGATACTCTAGAATTAAACTGTAGATGATCCTGACGTTAATGCCTTGTGATGGTTTAAGCATCTCAGAATCTCTTACAAAAGGCATTGACTTGTGTTCTTTAAGCAGTTTGGGGCATCTATTAAATCACATTTCAGGATGTATTTAATGAACTGACGATAAGATAAAACTAAAGTAACACTTGACTTTGTTCTTCTTGTTGGGTCCATTATATAGAGTATATTAAAGAACTTTTTGAATTTTAAAACATTCCTTTGTCCTTGTAGGGTAGATACAGAAAGTTAAATAGCTGCCTCGCTCAACAGATACGAAGGTTACATAATGGAAAATTAAAACAAACTTCTTAACCAGCCAGGTGGGGGGCCAAGCTTTCTTCTAAGAAAAGCTTCAGTTTCTCCATATTTCTCGGATTGAGGCTGCCTGCATTCCCAACTAATTTTTGTCACAAGGAAGGGAGATGCCAATATTGATTTTAGATATTTCCAGGACCAGTAATGTCGACACTGATTTGGGTTCATCACTTAGTGTTCATCACTGTTTTGCAATGATGGCTAAGACAATACAGAGGAAAAGAATAGGGTTTTTGCATATAAGTACCACTCCTTGTCTTTTGTGGCTGGACTCCACAGTGGCCAAAAACATGCATTAGGTGTCTAATTAAATACCAAATTGCTGTCTGAATAAAATTGCAGGAAAGCAATAGAGAGATTAGGTTTTATTTTCTTAATTCCAGAATACTTAGTCCATCCTGCCTTTATTTAAATTGTTACTGCTTTATAAACATTACTTAAGTCAAGGATGAGCCATAGTCACTTAGACTGTAATTGGCTAAGAGTTGATTTACATTCAAATGCTTATTATCTTAAATTGTATATTTCAGTTATTTTCATAGAAATAACAATGTCATAAAAAATGACATTTTTTTCAAAGATTTTTTTTTTGCTTCCTTCATCTTCCTATTCCATCCCTTATCCTATGATTTTACTCTTTGTCCCAGCTTGAAGACCAAGGATTTGACTAAAGGCAATAATTGCATTAATAATGTTTTGGTCAAAATTGGTATCACTTCCCCCTTTTCTTTTCAGGAATGGGCTAGTTGTGAAGGAAAGCTTAAAGATGACTTGAATCTGATGCTTCCTTGCTCCAGTGTCCAAGTATTTACCAAGCTAGTGTTTTAAAAACACTTTTCATGTGAACAACGCGTAACGATTTGGTGCAATCTTAAAATTTAGAGTTTTGAATGGAGTTTTGCAAAATGTGGTTAGATCTGGTTTTAAGGCTCTCCAAGTGGTTGCTTTATACAGGTTTTAGTGTATTGGCCTTAACTTCTGAATATTCCTTAGACATACAAACCATATCCAACAAATTTATAAGTGAAGCTAAGCACAAATTCTCGTATTTGCTTAAGAACGTAGGTTCAAAATTCTTACCCAAAATAGCAGGATGGGTCCTGTTTTGAAGGCTAAGGGACTCAAGTGAAAATATGAAGAAGTTCAGTCTTAGATCAGCCTTCCCAGAAACATCATTCTGCTCACAAGCACTCAGCCTAGCCTCTCCTTACGTGTTTCCACCCCTTTTAAAATTTTCTTAGAATCTTGGATCATTTCAGTTTCTTGCGTACAGCGTTCAGTTGTTTCATGTAGATGTGTGCATAATTTACCTGCCGTAACGAGAGAGTCTTGGATTCAGCATTTGGCTTCCTGTGCCTGCCCCAAATATCTAACAGATACCTAACACTATACTGAGCACAAACAAAATACTTCCTAAATATGTGCTTGCTTGATTCATAGGCTTTTTGTTTTGTTGTGTTGGGTTTTTACTGGTGAGTTCTAAGCTGCAAAGAAGAAGATTCTGGAGAAGGGAGACGTTTGTGTTTTCATCTTAACGTAGAAGTAGGAAACTAGGATGATACATAAAATGGGGAGAGGGTTGCACGTGGCATCACACCCATGCCGTCTGCAACTAACCTGCAACTCGGATGTCACGGGAAAGCGGTCTCCACCAGTGAAGGTGTTTTGAGTCACCGTGCATCTCCCAAGCCCGAGTCTCTCTCCCTTCTCTGGCAGGAAATGTTAACAGGAAGAATGCTCCAGTAGCTCTTTTCTGCCTAGTATGTAAGGGCAGACCCTCTCAAATGAAACTTTACATTGCTTCAAATCACCCCTGGCCTTAAAAGTTCCTGATCTGCCTCTCTCCCGATTTTTCAAGCTCTGGCCGACTCTCTAGACTAAGTTTCTTTAAATTTCTCCACCTGATTTCTCTCTGCTTTTTTTCTGCCCTCTCCACTCTTCGCTTCAAATTGGATGTACTTCATAAAACGGTGTCTAGATATTTCAGCCATTCTACCAAACTGAACTTAAAGATCGGACAAAATACATTTTAAGTGGTTTTGAAACTGAAAGCTAGTATGAACATTTTGGAATTTGTACCAATATAAACATATTAAACTTAAGACCATATTCGAATACAGTTAAAAAATTACATCATGTTCCTTCTGCTAGAAATCTTAAAGGATAGATGTATATATGTATATAATTCACCTTCTGAATCATGATGTAATTTAGATTATATTTTATTAGACATTCTTTACAAATTTAAAATACTGCTATTTTTACATGCACAGAGGAAAATCAGTTTGGGTAATTATATTTAGGCATTCATTAAAATCAACCACAAAATAGAGACACTTTATTGTGTCATTTATCAACATACTTGATATGTATATCTAAAGTGCATTATGTTACAAAAAATATAGAAATTCAGCAGCACCAAGATACATTTACAAAATAAATACATCAGTTGACAAAATAAATTATGGTAAATGTGATAATAATAATTGGATTAGCCTTGGCAAAAAAAAAATATTCACAATGACCAATGTGCAGTTTCATAGAGCAATGGGGGAGACAGTTTTATTCCAATGCATTTACAGTATTTACAGACAATAAATATTTCTAATACTTTCCATATGTTCACTATTACAGAATCCTGCAATACGTCCTCTGAAGGTCTCTGCTGTAAATTTCAATGCCTCCTGCAAAAGAAGGAAGGGAAAGAAGAGGAGAAAACAGGTTAATTCTCCTTACAAAGGAAGAGACGTAAAATAAAGGATTATAAATTAAGGAACATAGAGTCACAGTGGAAAGAGATTCAGGGCACTTCTTGTAAATATCTCCTACAGGAGGTGCCGGTGGGATCCACCCGTCTCTCTAGAGCTTGGCTAAAGGCAGAGTCTTTAATCCATCAAACAGTCAATGTAGTGCAGCAAAAAAAAAAAAAAAAAAAAAAGGCCCACATTTCTGATTATTCTATGTCAGAAAAATGAGACCCTTGGAGAATTTTCCAAAGCTGCTAGTTGGCAAGTTTGGGATGAGAAGGGACACACAAATCTGAGAATTCAGAAATAAGGCTGTGCAATCCATCATTAAAGGCACCTTGCTTAGAAGTTTATCCCCAGTCATGCCCTACGCAGGTGATGCAGAAGTTGCTTTTTTCAGGTTCTCGTTTGGCCAATGTCTCACTAAGACAATGGGTTGTTGTGAAGGTAGAGTGTGTGGCTTGGAGTAAATGTTGGGAAGATGTGTAACTAAACAAAGTATGTTGGGTTGATGATTTGGAGGACATCTGCCCTTCCTGAGCCACCCTTCAACACGAATGAGTGAAGCTATTATTAGATTTTAGCTTTTGAAGCCGAAAGTAAGATACAATTTTGAATGGATCTTGCATTCGAAATTGGGAAAGCCTATTTTAAATTGAAGAATAAGAATCAATTAATTAAAAAGTACAAAATAGCAACATTCCACATCACCATGTTTATTATCCAGAGTAAGTTACCGCTGGGGATTGACACCTTGTCTTCTAGGCACTGTAATGACAGGATTTAAGGGTGGAGATGTTTTCTTTCTCCTGTTCTCGTCCCTCTGTGTGGCCTCTTTCAGGGAATACACACCGGTGTCCAGGAAACAGCTACAGAATGGAGTCTGACTGGCTGTGTCATTGCATTAACAGCCAGAGTTAGGGGCAAAGTTTTACATGGCCGTGAGACCTACCAAAAGCAAACCCTCGACCATTCAAGGATTTGATATGCAGCTTGAAGAGTGAAAAGTAAGTTGGGCATTCAGGGTGTTTTCATGTCTTAAGGAACTGACCGATAGTTATGGTTCGGATGATAAAATAGTTCCTAGTTGCGAAGGAAAAAAAAAGTTTAAGATTAAAATGTTAAATGATGAGCGGATATGGATGGATGTTTTGAATACAGCCCAAGAGGTAAATGTCAAACTCAGTAATTTGTGTGCTGTACCGATTTTAAGATGTTTTTGTATGAAATGGTATTTAATGAATCGAGTCTATGAAAGACACAAGCAAGGAGGGGATGCAGAGTCTTTTGAACAGTTATTTCCTCAGTAGGAGAGGAAATAAATTAAAGGACCCAGGAAGAGGTCTTTTAATTATATGTCGCCCTACCCAGCCAGTTTGCTTGTTACTCTTCCTTCTGGTTTCCCTTTAACAGAGGCATGTAGTGGAACAGCCAGGTAAAACATACACCATGACCCAAAACAAATGCGTATGTTTATCATCCATGTGAGTAGGACAATGCTTCAGAGTCTGGGCTCTTTTGAGTACAGAAAAGCTTTTATATTATTTCTAAGTCAGTGTTTACCAAGGCAAAAATATATCGTCTCAATTAAGTGAGTCCTCCTGTATCTGGACATCCCATTTGCAACACCAAAAATTCCAAAATGTTAATTTCCAAAAAATGTAAAGCCACGTATTTCCCCCTGAAGGGTTCATGTGAGAGGAGCCAGTTAGTATCAGCACAACAGTGTCTTTTAAGAAATACTACCTGTATTACCATAAAGTTCGTGCTTGCCGCATCATCAGACCTCTCAGGTCGTCGGATCATGATGCACAGAGACCAAACGGAGGACATTAATAAGAGGCTGGTTGTGTATACAACTTCAGAAGAGTTATTCTGAAAAGGTCCTATTTGGCTTACGAAATTGGCATGCTCCATGTATTCTCATCAATACACTCTTGAATTTCCCCACTCCTCCCTGCACCTCTGGTTGGGCTGTACTGGGGAAATGCCAACATCTGGCTGCCAAACAAACAGTGCTTTCCATGAACGTCCCTTAGAACCAGGGACGAGCAAGCTGAAGCAGAATTCTCCGCTGCTCTCAGTCCTAGGTCTGGATCTGATGAGGGCACTGCCTCAGTTTCACTCAATCTACTTTAACTTAGAGATGGCTCTGGGGTAAGAATTGATGAGTGCTGGCTTCCAATTCTCCAGATACTGAAGAGCACTTCAAATTTTAAATGAAACGAATTCATTAAAACATATTTCTACTTCTGTTTTTATAACTTACACATGATATATATACTACATACATAAAGTTGATAAAAACAGGCTTTGGTAATGAAGTAAAGCCCTTGCATTAGTTATAACTATGTACAATTAGGATTGTATTTTAAAATGTGCTGAATATGTGCATTCAGCCAAGATTACCCCTTACAGATCCTTTAGGTATTCAGACAATGAGCCATTCACTGTGCTAAAGATTTCTCTAGTGCCCACTGAATACTGAAGCTGTACCACCTAGCCAATATAATTATCAGTTTATATGCTATCTCCTGACGGGTTTTGTCAACTAAATTCAAAGAGAGATGTGGTGATGATAAATGGGATCAAAATCCCCTTTGAAACACCATGCTGTAATTCTCTCTCTACCAGTCAGAGGAAGGATTAATAATGAGCTCATTAGCTGCGTGTGATGCATTCTTGTGTTGTTTTCCTCTTTCTCTCAAACGCCCACAGAAGTGCTGCACTGAAAAGTAAGAAACAAAAAAGATCCTACCAGTGGAAATGCACGTGTGCAGAGCGGCACTGACATAGTGCTGGCCTGAGTGTCAAGAAGCGAAAGAAACCCAGTTCTGAGGACTACCTACCCCAGGTCCCGGGTCTGCTCAGCTCCTTTAACTGTGGGAGGTCTTGGTTTTCTGTGTTATAAAGTGAGATTAATGTTTGCCCCTTTTTTTGCTTCACAGAAATACACATACCTAAACTGAGAGATGGATGGATGGATGGATGGTACAACCAGAATGGGATCTAAAAGCACCAAAATGATAATAGGTTGCAATTTACTGAGTGTCTTCGCTATGACAGGCATTTAACCTGTGTAATATCATTTAATCTTCACTCAACCCAATGAGGTTGGTATAAGCAATATCTTCATTTCACAGGAAAGGAAAGTCAGTCTTAGAAAGATCAAGTAACTTGCTCAAGATTGTGAATTTTAATAAGTTTAGTCCCAGGACTTGAACTTGAGGTATATAGCCCCAAAGTCTGTGAATGTGAGCATCCGTGAGGTAAGGATAAACAAGCCACATGGATGTGGTTTTATTGTTCCCCCTACAATACCCTAGAAAAAGTATTTCAACTTGCCAGTGGACAGATACATACGTGAGAAAAACTTATATCCTTCCCAAATCTATACTTAACATTTTTTAGAAATCATGATTTTGTTTCTTGAACTGGTAGAAACCAGAGTTCAATTTAATTAAATAAATGGAAAGCATGTGCTTAACCATTTTAATTTATTTAAATGAAAATAAATGTAAAATTGAATTCAATAAATTTAATTAAATAAAAAATGTGACTGGCTCAGAATTGTTTTTGGTAAAGATATTTTCCTGTAGTGTTTGTAGATCGTAGCAAAGTCTTCTGTGTTCTCCCTTGAGGTGAAAAAAAAAAAGAAAAAGAAAAGAAAAAAGAATAGTAAAGTTTAACATGATGTGAGAGTTGGGGAATAAATATACTTCTCTTACAAATGATGAAGTGGTCACTAGCTCCTAAAGCTTGAGTGAAATTTAAAATGATTTAGTAGGTATTAAAGGATCAGTGTTGGGGTGTAATGGTGGAGAAGGAAGCGGGTGATTAACCTCTGTGTGTTAAGGAGTTAGGAGCACCCTGCTTTAAGGCAGGCAATATTCTGAGCCATCTTGGTTTTGTAAGCTTGTAAATGATGCAGTGACTGATAGAGAGACAGAAAGAGAAGAAATGCTACGTTTGTCCCAACCAGGGCGGAATGGAGGCTACACACCCCATCTGAGGACACGAAAGAGGGTATCCTCACCTACGGGCCCTGGAAGCCGGTTACCGTGAATCGAGCTCCAGCGATGTCCCGGAGATGTCAGACACGTGGTCCCCCTCCAGCCCGCTCCCAGCCACGCCCGAGGTCAGCCAGGCCGAGCGAGTTCTCCGCTTCTTCTTCTCCTGCTCCTTGCGTTTTCCAGGCTTGCCTTTCTTCTTCTTGCCGGGCGTCTTCAGTGGCTGCTCTTTGTACGTCTCCACCTTGTTGGTTTCCTGAGTTAGGTATCTGCCCTCATCGTCAGACCCAAATCGGACGGGGTGGTTCTTCGTGTTGGGAGCAGGCTTGGAGTTGGGGGAAACCTCCGAGGTAGCTCTGATTTCAGCTGTGTGGATTTCTGCGATCAGGTGGTGAAGGAAGAACCGTCGCCGTAAATCTTGGATGGATTTCCCCTTGTCATGGAGGAGCTGGTGTTCAGACACCGCTCTTTTGCTTTAAGGGAAAAAGAGCAGAAGAAGGAAACAATGACATTTTAGTAGCTGGTAGAGACCACAAAGACTTGAGGAAAGCCCTTTAGTTGTCTATTTGGGCCAGTACAGGGCACAAGGGGAAGGGGCAGCAGGCTGGCTGAGCAGGGAAGGGGAGAGCGGGAAGGGAAGAGCCGGCCGTTAGGAGGCTCCAGCCTTGAGTCCCAGTTCTGCCTCTCTCTGGGTCTGCCACCTTGGTGAGAAAATGGACATTCTTGGGCCTCAAGGACCTCATCTGTTTAAAAGGAAAGGATCAGATTCAGTGATTTCTATGCTCTGTTCTCGATTTAAAATATTATGATTCAGTTATTCAAAGAAATGGACAGGAACCCCTGGGCTTCTTCTTGTGTTTTTCAGAGTTGTGCTGGGGAAATAAATCCAGAAGTCATAGTCTGGAAATAAAAAGGTGGCTGATTTTACCTGAGGGCTCGCCCCAAGCATGCCTATGCAGGAGCCCGTGTGTACAAAGACGTACTGCGCCCCTCCAACCCCCCACCCTCAGTAATAATACTACTGAATATCAAAGAACAGCAAGCTTGAGTAAAAGCAAACAAAGACTGAAGGATGAAGTGAACAGTTGTGCCCGTCTAGGAAACCAGCTGACTAACAGACTGAACTTGAACATGATTGATATTAGACTATGGGCTACTGAGAACCTGCATTTGAAGGCTAACTGTCAGAGCATGAATATTTTTCTATAAAGTGGTGGGTGGTCTCTTTAAAATGGCTTTCTTTGGGTGTTTAAATTAAGTGAGATCATTGTACTTTATCTGTGCATCTTTCTTTTTAAATTTAAAATTTCAGAAGGTATTTATTATCCCTGGTTCTGAATTGAGAAATTCACTTTTCTCCTTATTCTTTGGCTTAAAAATATCTCTAGGAACAAATATGAACTTATTTTTCTATTTAAACAACAACACTCTAATGAAAATGTAGTGAAAAAGAATAAATGAATTCTCTGCCAATCCTTTTAGATGACACCCTGACTCTTGCTTAAATGTCCATTCGTGTATGCTTTTATTATTCTGTGTGTCCTTATTAACCACATTTAAGGATTACATACATTCATTAGTCATATTATGCCTGCTTCAACTATGCTTCACCTAAATCCAATTTCTACCCCTGAAATAACCCTCCAAGTGGCTCATTTTCAAAAGAATCTGAAGGTACTTCCCAGAGCTACATGTCACGGAGTCTCACTTCCCTGACACCGTGATGGGTTTATCTGGCCTCTTCTTACCTTCATTAATACAACTTCTTTAACTCCAAAACAAAGGGCTCCAAAAACAAAGGCTTCTGATTCTAAAAACCAAGATTGTTTTTCAACTTCCTCAACTTTTTCTTGCTGAAGCTGAATTGTATGTTGAGAAAACAAGAAGGGAAGGGCAGGGAGTAAAGAGCCCGCGGTGCGAACCATGGCAATGGGCAAATGGACAGCAACTGCCTGGTTTCCTTGAAGACCAAGCTCATTGCCCCAAGAAGTACATTTTGATCACCAAAATCAAGAACCAGGATTCGCAGAGATTGGATTAGCACCGGGGGAATGAGAGATGGTCTAGTTATATTGTGAGTCAAAAAAGGGTAAGACACGAAAACACCAGCATTCTTTCTCTGAACCTTATGGCCTGACTACCAGCTTCCTTTCAGCATCTCAGTGTGTGCATTGACTTTAAGCCATGTAGCTGGTTCAAGAAAGACATGACTTAAGGGAAAGGAATTTAACAGGAGCCTGGTTTAAATGAGGCATGAAGGAGTCTCTCTTCCTTTTTGAAGGTGCCACATGTGACAAGATTAGTATTCACTTAATTTGTGGCCATAGTTAGTATCCTGGGAACTTTTAGTAAGGTACAAATTTGAGGCTTTGCTACAATATATTATATCAGCTAATAACATTTTAAAAGAACAGGATGGGTATATGTGCATATTTCATAAGTAGTGCAGTTTAATAATCTCCTAGCAAAATATGTCACATTAAAAAAGAAGTTCTTAAGCAGTGATCCTTTGTATGATTTGGAGCTTTTTCTGTTTTCTCAATCCCTGGCAGATATCCACGCATCTGTGTTGCTCTACAGATGTATAATACAGCCCATTCTAGCTTAACTTGAAGCCAAAACTTTTAATAGCTGGTCTGTTCCAATCAAGCCACCATTGCTCATGTCCCCTCTGACTGGCGTATGTGCCTGTCATCTTGGCGAGCCTGTCAATTGTGAGTCACAGAGCCTTCCTAACTCAAGCACGGCAATTTCCCGGGATAGTTCTCATGGGAAATGGAGTGATCATTCCATCCTTCTGTTTTATTAAAAAGCCTACACTCCGGCACACTGTGTCCAGTTTAGGGCAGTACATCTCTCATGAGATGGTGCCTTTAGGGGGTAATTATTAATATATTTGGAAACATAAGTTTTCTTTTTGTATTTTTTTTGATGGGGGTAGGTAATTAGGTTTATTTATTTTTACAGGAGGTACTGGGGATTGAACCCAGGACCTTGTGCATGCTAAGCATGTGTTCTACCACTTGAGCTGTACCCTTCCCCCAAAAACATAAGTTTTCTTAAATGCTAAATCTGAAATGCCGTTACATAATTTACTTACTACTTTGAAGACTTCTGCACGTAAAATATTGTGAAGAATTAATTTCTGATTGAGCAACTGCATTAGAGGATCAGGAATATGATAGTATCTTTATTGTCAACAAGAAAGAAGGTCCACAGAGCGTTCTATCTATTTTCAAAATAAGACATTAGCTGAGATAAGGATAAATGACTAGCATGTACAAATGAGAGATACACAGGCAGTGGGCAATAAATTCTAATTAGGGAGCCTTTCAGTAAGATAATTCTGAAGTATTTAAATTGCAAATATGGCCTCAATGATAGTCCATGACTTTATATGCCTGCAAACATTACATAGCACAATGGTCCACATGGCATTTATGACAGACCCAACCTGGAAAAACAAGTACACTATGTTCATGGTCTCCTTGGATTATTGTAAAAAAAATGCAAAAATATGGAGGAGATGCTTAACACAGATAACTCTAAATTCGGTCAAAATACAGCTCTTCTGCCTTAAAAAAAATCACTCTCAAGGGAGTTTTCAGGGAAGAAGATTAAATTTCTAAGGAGCTCTCAAGGAACACAGGGAATAGCCGGAGTGATGGGAATTCCTTTTTCGGGACAGGAAGAGGCAGCCCGCGCTCGCGCTGATGCTAGCCTCCCAAGGAAGGAGTCTGGGTTTAAGAAAAGTTCTGTGGTACATGGAAGAGTCAGGGTTAGGGTGTTATAGTTAAGATGACTCACCAGAAGTCCTTTCCAACCCAAATGACTCAGCTAAAAGTTATGCTTTTCATTAAGTGGAATAGACCCAGTCTGGCTCCCGAGCAAATCAGTCAGTGATGGTTTAGGTTTCCGAATCTGCTGGGGTTCTTTCTCTAACTTAAAGCACAAAGATTGCCACCTGCCAACAGCCGTGTTCATCTGGACAAGAACGTCCGTAGGCTTCCAACTTTTACTCAAGCTCTAGCCTCATTTGTTAAAGTCTTTTGGATTAGCAAGTCAGGAGATTTACAACCTGTATTGTCTCCTTTGCGTGGCCTGGGGAGTGTTCTTGTTGTAACAGTTTCCTCTCCCTTAAAAGTTAGCCCCTAGTCAGAAAAAACATCTAAAGCAGTTTCCCTCATATTTGGTGTGAAAAGTAATTGGAGAGTCATATGATTTGATTATATGTTAAAATTTCTTTCAAGAAACTAGGTTGATTTATTGTAATAGTAGACAAATATTCTGTCTAGCACATAGCATTTACTGTTATTTGGCAATAATGCAAAAATAATGACTTGTTTTTTTAAACTCCAGCTGGCTGTAATAATTTGATGAAACATCTTTATCTACTGATGATTTCAGCCTCTCTGAAAAACCATGGCTGTAATGTAATGATCTATTAGCCATTAGCTATAAGAATGTTTTGTGGTAGTTTTATAACCATCTGCTGAGTGTGAGTGTTTAACTGCAATATTATATTTCACCCACAAACAAAACTATAACAGAGTCTCTGGCCGCTAAATGGTTTCTGATGTGTATTTTGCAAGGTGCCACAAAGAAAGAGTTAAAAATAGCCTTTAGGACTAACTTAGCACTATTCTAATGTCATAACTGTAGATTTAATCATGGTCCATTTACAGTTTCTCAAAAGAGAAAACAGACATTTCTAAGTAACTCTGAAGAAAAAAAATTGGCTCTGTTCCAAGACAGTATTTCTTGGCCACATAAATGCAGTATTAAGGTGTGCTTTAAAAAATTTAGACTTCATCTATATCTACATATAGATTTTACATAATTGAATTAAATACAAGTCTCAAAATGAACGGAAAAATCTGAAGACAATCTCCAGAAATACATCAGCAAAATGTTGATTTGAAGAATACAGTGCACCTTTATCTTCAGTACAATGTTCTACACAATTTGCCTTAGGAGATTCATAACAGATTTTCATATTGGTGCCAAGGTTCAGACATGTCTAAAGTAATTTCACTTAAGGATTTTCTGCTTTAATAATAATAGACCAAAGGCCCATATAAGAAATTGCCTCTTTGTACACCCTCGGAAATTTACAGGGAAACACCAGGAACTTGATTGTAAATATTAGATACTGCTGTTTTTACTGTTAGTGTAAAAGTTCTCCTTGCTTCCTTCTCCAGAGGCAAACTTCTCTCAGTACCCAAACTTTATGATTTTCCCATCCTGAACACAGGCACTGCAGCTTCAAGATCACCCAAGGACGGGATTACACATATGCAATAAACTGCTAGGTCCAACAGATTCTTAAGTCAGTGTTACACCACCACTCTTACAACTTTTCAGTCTTACAGCATGGTGTTATTTCTCCGAAGTGCTCTGATGTATGATTATTTTTAAAGTCAAAATTATCCTTAAAGAATCACCAAAATGGAAATGCCAAGATACAAGTTTTCAGTCTACAATGCAAATACTTGACTCCAGATTCAAGAACTGCTAGCAATCATTCCAAGCGGAAAAAAGGTTCCACACCTAATACTCACTTTGAAATCAGACGTTCTTGAACTGTATCAATACCAACGTTGGAGCTGTGCCATGGCAACGTTGCTACTACTTCATTATATAATACGCCTACATTATGTAATGTGGTCCATTTTATATGTTTAAAATTATGTCATTCATAATAAAATTAGACGCAAAGTTTTTGCTTTTCACACAGAATCTGCCACCCACATTCAGTATGCATGTATGCAAGTGCACCCAGGCGTCTGACGCAGGGATCCCTCAGCTCCCTCTGCGTTAGATCTAAGCCCCTTGGAATCCTCACGGTTTCAAAATCTTCCCAGGTCCTGAAAGTAACCTTTTTCTTTCCCTAGAGGCAGAGGATCTTTGCCTAGAAGAGACTCTGGAAAATGCTCCCTCGCTTGGAAACACATACAATGTGCTTGTCTTCCCTTGACGTTCAACCAGTTCTCCCGCCGGGGTCGAGGACCCGGGCTCAGCCCCGGGCAGGTAGCGGATCTCTCCGCTTGCTAAGCCGGGCGAGGCGCATCAGTGACAGCGGCGAGCCCTCGGCAGCGCCCCAGCCTGGTGGCCTCTCCCACTGGCCTCCCGATCCCTCACCCGGCGCCCTGGGGGAGGACCGGGTACTTACAGTCGGCGGCCGAGCTCCTCCACCGAGCGCCCGCAGGAGGGCACCGAGTAGCTCAGCAGGAACACCGTGACGCTCCACTGCTGAACCAGCCTCCACAGCATCGTATCCTCTAGCTCTGGGGACCTGCGACGGAAAGGAAAGGGGCCCAAAGCGTCAGTGCCGCATCTCCATCTCCCCGCACTGCCCTGCCTCCCCCTCCAGCCGGCTCTCAAATAGCCCCTTCAGCTTCAAGGGCATCTCCCAAGTTGCAAAGAAGAAGAAGAAAAAACTTTGTCTGCAGCCGCTGAGCACTTACTTATTTAGGAACCAACTACTCCGACTGTGCTTTTTTTTTCCAACCCACAAGCAAAAAGGGACCGAAAAGGAGAAGAAGAGAAGAAAAAAGAATCAGAGGTGCTTCCTCTGAAATAATAACCTAAATGAAATGGCTTTATACAGGCACCAGTGATAAGCAGCGTGTTTACACGTCTCGCATAGCAATATATGATCAATCTGGCCGGCAGTTCTCCTGGGTTCGGGGAGCAGGGCTAACCTCCTCCTAAAAAAAGAAGAAAGTGTCTCCCTCTGAAGTCAGCCTCTTTGCGGACTAGGCCGTCTTGTTTCCGAGCCACTTGCAGCGAGACCCACATATATATACCTAAGCTGTCTGTCTGCCTCCTCTGGTGGGCTGGTTGCTTCCGGAAAGTTGATTCCACACACCCTGAGAACAAGTTTCAAGTGCGTGTGTCGTCGATCAGGAGGGCCAGGTGGCAGCGAGGGCGGGTTAAGAGCGGCGCGGAGGGGCGGCGGCGGCCCCGCTTCACGGCCGGGGAGGCATGCCGGCCGGGCGGCGCAGGTTGGAGGCGAGTGGAAAGTCGAGCAGAGGAATGTTCACACGCTCGCAGGCAAACCTGCCGGAGAA